TGGAGCCTCAGCTTCAGGATCTGTCCTTCCAGTGAGCACTCAGGGTTGATTTCCTTCAGAACAGATAGGTTTGATCTCCTTGCAGTCCAGGGGACTCTCAAGAGTCTCCTCCAGCACCACAATTCAAAGGCATCAGTTCTTTCGCGGTCAGCCTTCTTTATGTTCCAGCTCTCACATCCATACATCACTACTGGAAAAAACCATAGCTTTGACTATGCGGACCTTTGTTGGCAAGGTGATGCCTCTGCTTTTTAAGATGCTGTCAAGGTTTGTCATCGCTTTCTTCCCAAGAAACAGGTGTCTTTTAATTTCATGGCTACTGTCAGCATCTGCAGTGATCATGGAGCCCAAGAAAGTAAAATCTGTCACTTCCTCCATATCTTCCCCTTCTGTTTGCCAGGAGGTGATGGGACCAGTGGCCATGAGGACTAGTTAGGCCTTTTCCGAGCTCCTTTCCCCTCTGTAACCACATTGGCTGGTTGTCCTTTCCAGCAGATTCAAAGTTATAAAGTCTTTATGACTACCACCAGCTGTTAAGACTAGGCTAGGCCACGGGGCTTGGACATTCTGGGAAAGTTGTGGTGGAGTGAACTGGGAAGTCTGCTTGCTTCTTATCCAAACCAAAGCTCTCGTAGTTAATTTGCCAAATGGGATTGGTGGCACTGGAGATTGCTCACCAAGAACTTGCCAGACACATCCCCGAGCCAACTCAGAATGCTACCCATTCTCTTCCGGTCGGTGTTACGTACTCTGAATTTCTGTGTCTACTTTTTGCTTGTGCAGGGGAGCTAGAAGAGCTGTCTGCTCCCATGGCTGGCATCCTGTTTATCTCAGGGGTTTCTTAGACCAGAGAGGCCTCAGGTATAGGGATCTTCTGTTGGATCCCCTTGAGAATTACCTCCAAGGAGCCTATTAATGGAGAGGCCTGCTTTGCTCGGATTTTCCATAGAGCAAAGATTTTTCGCTAATAGAAGAACTTTCCATTGATTTGGTCAACAGTAGCTTGTTTCTTTCTGGTGTTCAGGCCAGTGCCAGCCACTCTTTCCACACACACCCACATTTTAAAGCAGTGAGATCACTGATTTTAGCTCTGTGCCCACACCCTAGCCTTTTCTTTACCTCTCTGCATATTTACAGTATACATACAAACCCTTTTCAAAGTGGCTCCTTTATCAGCCCTTGTTCTGACTCATGCATATTGCTCTTGGCAGAGTTGTGCTCCCTAAGAAAGAAACACACTGCTAGTGCATCAAAAACATATTCAAAGCAGTAGGGCACAAGAATCCATCTAAGAATCCTACTCAGTCAGTAAGCCAGTCAGGGAAAGCTTGCCTGAATAGGAAAGTCTTTTTGCCTGCTTGCGGAAGGACTGCAAAGTTGAGGCCAGTATGGCCTCCTGTGGGAGAGAGTTCCAAAGTGTTGAAGCAGGCACAGAGAAGGCCCCGTACTATGTCTCCACCAAAGGCATCTCTAAGGATGGTGGGACCTTAGTAATCGAGCCGGCTCATAAAGAGAGATGCAGTCCTTGAGATAGCTTGGACCACAGCCTTGAATTGTACATGGAAATGGATCAGCATAGGTTGATCCAGATTTACTCATACTTCAGAGTACATTCATTGACATCCTTGGGAACTAAATATTCTCCTGATTGAATTAAGTCCCATCGATTGCAGTGTGTTTGCTCTGTTCAAAATAAGATTCTGTCTACTCAACGGGAGTCTCAATCAATGACGAAGTTAATAACCAAGACAAACCACAATGCTGTGTTCACAAATTGGTGCTTTCCAGATGTGTTAGCCTATAACTGATTAGTTAGTAGTGACAGAGGCAGCCCCATGCATGTGAAGGGTGCAGGGAAGTGGAGATTGCTCATATTGCCTTTGGCATGTGCAACATAAATCAGGTTAAGTCCTAAGCAGGATTTTCAGATTCAGTAGAAATTCTGATTAGGTGTGGAACCTTGTTTAGCAGTGCCTATAGTAGGTGTCAGCGCAGATGTAATTCTAAATCAAAGCTTGAAAGTAATGAGTTATTATAATTCATTACAGGAACTTGTAATGAATTACAGTAACTCATTACAGTTAGATTACAGTAACTCGTTACAGTTACATTACAGTAACTCATTACAGTCCATTATAGGAACTTGTAATGAATTTGTGAATTAACTTCCTTAAATTACATTTCAAAGGTAATGATCACAAGTGCTGTTGCTGGGTTGAGAGGAACAAATAAATTTGTCTAGATTTGCATAATTCACAGCATCATCACTGTTTACCATGGGGGGTGGGGAAGCACCTTTGGTGGAGAAGAGTGAGGAGGAGCAAATGTTTGCCATAACCGCTTGTGTATGTTGCATCAGGCTCAGAAATTACGAAGAGTATTTACAAAATTAAATTAAAGTAATAATCATATAATAATCTTAGAATTGCAGAGTTGGAGGGGACCCTAAAGATCGCTGAGTCCAGCCCTTGTCCAGGAGGGCCCAGCGGGGGAATCGAACTTCCGACCTCTGGCTCCGCAGCCGGAAACCTAAACCACTGAGCTATCCAGCAGTTCATAAACACAATGCAATCTGAATTTTCTGGACATCCTCATTTGGTTTTGGTTTAAGTTAGGGACTCAGGAAAGCCATTGACTCGTGTTATCCAAAACCCACTGCTTCTAGACACCAGGGGGATACCAGAAAACCTTAGAGACCGCTTTGGGGAGCCTCATGCCACCAAAGGGCCACTTTTTGCCTGCCAGGAATAACTCTAGAAACACTTGGCTTACATTTTTGCCTTTGGCTTCTCGCCACAGGCACGGATCCATCGTCGTGGCGGATTTCAAGTCCAGCTGGCGAAATGGCCTGGCTTTCTTAGCAGTTGTCCATGCGTTACGGCCGGACTTGGTGAATATGGAGAAAGCGAAAGGAAGGTCCAACAGAGAGAACCTGGAAGAGGCCTTCCGGGTTGCGGAGAAGGCACTGAATATTCCCCGGCTGCTTGAACCGGAAGGTAAGGCTCTTTCTCCATCGGCGTCTGACCAGTTTCGCCTTTGGTATGGAGAAACTCTCGATCGTAGCAGTGCCTTGGCTTTATTGTGAATATTTTTTTAAAAGGCGGAGTCAGCAGGTGGGGGGAGGCTACTGTTCTAGCAACGTATTAATGAAAAAAAGGTGCTTGGAATTTGCACAACCAGTGGTTGCTAAAGTCAGAGAGATGCACGAGTGCTCGTGTAGTTGCAGGAAAGGAAGGGCAGGGCTCCTGTATCTTTTCATAGCTCAGGGGTGCTCATAGTGCACTGGCCGTGCATGTGCAGTAGTGAGCCTGGGAGCACTGCAGCACTACTGTGGAATGAAGCTGCAGCAGGCATGTCTCCCACACTACTGGTGTGATATTTGAGGTTTTAAACGCTGGAAAAAACATAGGGACTGCAACCTTTTCTATACCTACTGGATAGGTCTTTGCTTTGAGTTGTCATTACCTGTCATCAAGTTGCTTCCAATCTATGAGGACCCTAAGAGGTCTTTGGAAGCATGTGAGATGTTGAAGGAGTGGTCTAGCATTGCAACCTACCACTGTGTTTCCCTGAATTTGAACCCAGGTCTCTTCAAGTGCTCTTGCTGCTATATACCGCACTGGCTCTTGTGGGCTGTAGGAACATACTAACAGGTTCTGCCATTTTACAGATGTTGATGTCAACAATCCAGATGAAAAATCAATCATGACATACCTAGCTCAGTTTCTTCAGTACTTCAGTATACCTGTGGCTGAAGATGAATTGCAGGTAAGCGAGATCTCATGTTATCAGTCAAGCCAATTTCCTTTGAGTTTGGATTATTGAACTGATTTTACGTATAGTGTTTTAGTGGGTCTGGGCCATGATAAAATAAAATAAGGTGTTTGTGGAACTGACCAGAGCTAATATAAATGAAATACTAAGTGACATTTAACGTTGGCTGAAGGACTGTCCAGGACACTATAGAGCAATTAGGCATCCTTCAGTCTCGAGAGACTATGCTAATGTGCTCTGTATGGAGGACTTGGAACAGCGTCTAGTGTGGCTGAGAAGGCCAATTCAAGAGTGGCAATCCCTTCCACACTGAAGACAAATGCAATCTGTCCCCTGTCTGGCTCCCTGATTTTGCTGGTTTCGTGACTGCCTCTTTGCCTCAGCCTGCTGAACAAGGGTCTCTTAAAATTGGGAGAGTCCATGATGCACCGCCTGCCTCCAGGCTGAACGCTCAGATGTCAGGGTTTCCCATCTGTTGAGGTCCATTCCTAAGGCCTTCAGATCCCGCTTGCAGATCTCCTTGTATCGCAGCCGTGGTCTCCCTCTGGGGCACTTTCCCTGCACTAATTCTCCATCCAGGAGATCTTTTGGAATCCAACCGTCAGCCATTCTCACGACATGCCCAAGCCAATGTAGACTATAGAGCAAAGAAGGGCAATTTCAGTAGATGTGAAAGCTGGTAATCTGCCCACGGTTACTCTACAGCAGTGGTTCCTAACCTTAAGTTCCCCAAATGTTCTTGGACTACAACTCCCAGAAATCCTGGCCAGCACAGCTAGTAGTGAAGGCTTCTGGGAGGAGGTCGACTCCCTGCTGTGCCTCCTTGACAGGGGCTGGACTTGATGATCTATAGGTTCCCTTCCAGCTCCAGCACTCTAAGATTATTATAACGTTTGGGGACCCAAGGTTGAGAACCACTGCTCTAGGAGTTACATAGGCCATAAGATAGGAGGAAGAAAACAAGACCCAACATAACCAAAAGTGGCTGGAGGTGCACAGTAGCTGGTACTCTTGATGTTGAACATGGGGGTGGGGGCTGTAATCTATTTGAAAAGTGAACACTTTTTAAGAGGGGGTGGGGAAACCATTGTTTGGTGTAGGGTCAGGGGAATCTGACGGAGCCAGGAGCAGCAAAAGCAGCCGTAGAAAGGGTCAAAGAGCCAACATTTTACCTGCCCCGCACGACAGAATCCACCAAAGCTGCCTTCAGATAAAATTCTGCTCTCCTTCTTAGAGCTAAACCTAACTTTGCACAACCTGAGCTGTGTGCTTATTTGATGGCAGCGGTTTCCCAACCATGTCGAGCTAATCCGCCATTGTAGGGCATAACGGAGTGGAGTGTGGGATTGCATACTCCCTTCCATCTCTGATAAGCAAATTCTCATTTCTGATATGAAAATGATCTAGCCTTAGCTGTGGTTCATTGGGAGACAGAGATAGAGTACCTGCTTTGCCTGCAGTTTATCACAGAGCTTGGAAAATTTACTTTTTTTGGGATTATAAGTGGCGTGGTCACTTACCATGCTGGCTGTAGGAGACTGAAAGCTATCCTTCGGAAATGAATCTTGTAAATCTATATCCTTGTGGGGAAAATGTGTTTGTAAAGGGAGACAGGGAATTGGTGGATGGGAGAAAACACATGTATGATTCTGGGGCTTATTTTCTTAGAAGTGGTTAAGGAAGTGGAGGCATACATTTGCGCTGGCCCGGGATCATTTGTCAAAGCATCTTTCTAAATACAGTTGGGTTTACAATGGGTGGTTGCATTTATTTAGACCAATATAATAATAATCTTAGTGGTTTAGGTATGTAACTGTTGGGCCAGGATTTGAAAGTTCGATTCCCCACTGTGCCTCCTGGCAGAAGAGCCAGCCTGTGTGGCCTTGGGCAAGCTGCACAGTCCAAGGGCAACCCCAGAAGAAGGGAAGGATAAACCACTTCTGAGTAAACGCGACCTAGAAAACTCTGAAGTCAGAATTGACTGGACAGCAATTACTAAAATAATAGACCAAGGTAGAATATAGCCTCTAGGATCTGTGGGCCACATGTAACCAACCCTAGACTTTGGATGGCCAATCCTGTTTCCTCCACTTTTTCTTAGGATTTTTCTCCACTGAATCTCCTACTGCACTCTCTAGTGGCCAAAAATATTTTAAGCTTCCTTTAAAATGCAGTATGCAAAGGTCATGGTGTGTTAGGGGGTCATGGTGTGTTATAGAGCACAAAGGAGAGTTTTGAGCCAGTATTTTCCAAATAAAGATACATTTCATGAATACATGGGTGGGATGCTAGGGGCCCCCTACCGGTACAAGGACCACATTTGAGCTTCTAGGGGCTGTGTGCTGACCACAGGCTGCATGTTGCCCACATCTCGTATAGGTTGAAGCAGTTTCCAAAGAAGAAACATTGTAGGGCAGGGGTCTCCAACCCCCGGTCCTTGGCATGGGCCAGACCGGGCTACGGAGACAGATCTCCCCACCCAGCCACACTCTCCCCTACACAGCCCCTTCAAGCATGCACCCGAGCACCTGTGTGAAGCCCCCACCCCTTTGCGCATGCATGTAGATGACCCCTGAGTGCCCCCCACTCCTTTGTGCATGCGTGCGAGCATGTGCCCACCCCTTCATGCATGCGCACAAGCGCGGGTGTGTGTGCTCCACATTCCCCAACTGGCCCACCTTTTTCTTTCTCCTTTACTGTTTTATGTTTTGTGTCCCCGCACTGTATTGTAGTGTTTTATGATTTAGAACTGTTATTGACATTTTCATTGTACTATTTTAAGTTTGTTAGCCACCTAGAGTGGTCCTTGTGTGACCAGATAGGCGGGATATAAAATAAATAAATAAATAAATAAATATCATCATAACCTTGAAGTCAATGTGGAAATGAACCAGTAGCCAATGAAGGGCAGCCAGAATGGGGGAGATATGCTGAAATTTCTTCACCCCAGTTATTAATCTGGCTGCTGAATTCTGGACCGGTTGTAGCCTCCGCATCAACCTCAAGGGTAGTCCCACATAGAGAGCACCAGCTTTATTTATTTTTTATATAAATAACTTACCTAGCTGGTTCAAAAACCCCAAGCTCCACCCTCCCAGACTTGCTAATAGACCTATATCAACACTTCTGCACGCCGATGACACCGTGATCCTCTCTAGAACTCATGCTGGCCTAAGGAGGGCTTTGCAGAAACTCTATTT